AATAAGGTAAGTAATGTCGAGGTTAGGCGTAGAGTGTTGGGCAAAGAGGGAAAATCGATCGAAGAGGCTATAAAGTTACATAGATTGAGATGTCTAGGTGACGTGCTGCGCATGCCTAACCATCGCCTCCCCCGACGGGCATTACCAGCTGATATAGGTGCAGGTTGGAAAAGAGTAAGTGGTGGCCAAACAAAAACATGGCATCAATCCATGAAATCCTTGACAGTTAAACTGAGTCAGGTAGGGAGATGCAGACTTCCGGGTTGGGGCCCGCCCTCGGGACTCTAAGAATCAATCAATGGCTGGAGACAATAGGTGACATGGCTCAAAATTGTTGTCAATGGCTTACGCAGATATATTCAGTCTCTGTAATCTTTCATATTTCTTTCTACCATTACTCATTCTGTTTCACTCTCATACTTATCAAAACTCTATTGATTCTCTTCACTCATTTTCTTGTCTACCTTCGTGTGCTATTTGGAACGTGGCAACTGAAACTGCTGCACTTCGGTGGCAAGTTCTATGTTGAATCCAGACAGACAGAAATCACATATCCTCTTGCATTATTACAATAATCTCTAAACTAATATTTACATAATTCTTTAGGGAATTAATTAAATGACATGTTTGCTCTCATTCATTACTATATAACTGTTTGATTTTGTTTTTGTTTTTGAGCAGATCAGTTGATGACCCATTTTCTCTCATAAACCCTACTACACAAGGCAATTCAAAATCAACATCAAACCTTCTAGAAGACTCTGCACTAATAAACGTAAGTAAAATGTTACATTTGTAAAATGGGTATAGTTGGTATAAAGAATCACGAGAGACGGTGTACTTGTTACAGTCACTATGACGTTCACTTTCCCAGTGATGTACTATCAGCTGATTCAAACTGTTAACTGCTTCTTTCAAAAACAGGAAATTAAATACGTGTTAGTAGTCTAGCAGTGAATCCCACTTATACTGTAGAAAGATTCCCTAGCAAGACCCATATGGCCAGTAGGGTGCAGCAGGTCGGGTGTGAGGACAAATACTCGCCGAAGGCATTGGCTAGCGGTCGCGCTATATCGTGAATTGGCAGAAGTTAGAATTCATGGGCCATTGCATCGGGTCCCAGTGGCTTAATGGTATGCGAGCTCGCCTTGTAACCATGTCCTGGGTTCGAACCCCGGTGGGCGCGTACTACTGAAGAGTCCCAAACCAGTACTCCCAGATTTTTCAATGGTTCTCTAACCGATGATGTCAGCTCATGATGAAATCCTGTAACCAATTTCAATATGATTTGAGACACCTTTAAATCGTGTCAAACATAAATATCAATGAAAGTTTTTTTAAAGGAAACCCTCAGCCAGAAAATCTACACTCTGGGCTACATATGAATGGATATCTAAGTATTGTATTTGCTTGAATTTTGAAGAGTAAACTGATAAACAAAGCAAATTCAGATCACATCTATGTCGGATACAATAATACAGGTATTTTTAAAACATTCTACTGGTGTTCTACTTTCCACTCGGAACGATATTGTCAAGTTCTTGCCGACTATTATTTTATCAATGAGTTTTCTTTGGCTTGGGGATGCAACGAAGATTGAAAGATTAACCCTTACTGTAGAACACTGATGATTATATTTCCTACTTCAATAAAGGGAATTGTAGGTCTTCCGAGTGCGTGGATTTAACAGTGCTCATGAGAGATTCGGCTTTGTGCAAGCAGTGACCATCGATCACACATCTCGCCTTACAGTATTATTGATCGAATCATAATTCAGCTATGAAGTTTAATTTCACGACCACTGTGCACTTTCTGTGGCACAATTCGACTGGAATGTATATGAATATACATGAAGGGAGCTTTTCTTTTCTCGACCCTACTGAATCACTTTGATAGTTCACAACGCAATGAACCTATGACTTCTTACTTGCAAATTTCTCGACTACACATAGATTACAACTTTCTAAGTACGGTCAATTAATTCCCTTCATTCAGGATCAGACAACTTGACACTGATGCAAGCTGATGATATGCATTGAACTGCACAAACTTCAACGACAGTTTCGTATTCCGGAATTAATACATCGAAACTTTGAACATCTACATTCCTCATTATGGGTCTGCTTTCAAATGGTATGAATTTCTATGCCATCTAGTGCGCCTGGTACCAGCAACTTAGGGAAAGAAATGTCGCAAAAAGCATTAGAGTAAGTTATTCACACTCAGCATCGTTACAGATAATCGAAACTAAGTCCAGATATTGATAAGTTTTAAGACTAAGATATCAGCATGTCTCGATATGCTCTAATCGACTAAACTGATTGAGTGCAACAATCCTCAACGTTCTATGATATAATGCCATTGTGATGGTAACGATTACCTAATTTTTCTATTTCCATGTAAAAATTAAGTCTCCATTGTGTTATATCTTAACATTAAAATTACTCAATAGTTGTTTCATTAAAGTCTTCATTTCACTAAAGGAAAATGTTTAATACTTTTTTAGTTCGATTCCATTCCGCCTACGCGCATTGCTCCACATGCTCCTCCGAGAACAATACCTCCACCATTACCACCTCGTCCACGAAATGAAACAGAATGATTTCTTTTTTTTTAATTTTAACCATGACAACTGATTTCCTGAATGAATACTTGTGACTTATTTATCAGCTATAGCATTTAACTTACTGAGTTCCTCAAACATACTTTATTTATTATAACATTCCAATACTTTATCGATTTATCTATTTACACGTATCGGATCATAACAACCACTATTCATCAATATAATTAACTTGAAACCACATTCGCCTTTTTGATGTGTTATAATAAAGTGAGAACACAAAATTACAATGTGAAGTAAATACATTTCAAAACATTGACTGAATAATTCAGTTGTTGCATAAGTTAGTAATATTACAGTTAGCGTCGCCTTGTAGATCTGCTAGAGCTTCTGGAGGATGACCAACTGCGACTGGAATTTCTACCGCGACGTGTCCTTCTGTGGCGACGCTTGTGTCGACGCGTACTTGAGCTGCGAGACCGAGAGTCCCTTGAAAATGATCGAGAACGTGATCTAGACCAAGAACGATTTCGGCTTGGATAGCTTGTACGTGTACCCCAATTCGTAGAGGCTCTTGTTGAGAATGAGCGTGAACGTGATCTCGTGTAGTATGAACGACTGACTGGGGAATATCGACCCCTACCTCTACTTCTTGAGTCTGAAAAATCACTTCGCTGAACTTTGCGAGCAGAATTGCTTATTGATCGAGATCTATGGCGAGAACGCTTAGGTCTGCTTGAGCTCCTTGATGAAGATCCAGAAGAGGAAGAAGAAGAGGCTGAACTAGAACTAGATGAATGAGATCGTCCTCTGATTGCAGCTGGTTTTTTAACCTGCTAAAAAAAGAAAACGTTACTATTTTAATTATCATCATTGTGCGGATTACAATTCTAAGGGTTTATCTCTAATTATGTATGTATGTAAAACAGTTGAAATACGAACTGAAAGCGAAATGTATTCAACAACAGTGTTCTCATCTATCTCTAATTAAGCAGTTCAGTTAAATAATATTTTAAAAAGATGACTAATATGTCAAATCTCAAAAGTACGTTAACTGTTTACAACACACACCAGCTAAATAAAGTAAATAATAAGCTAAGTGTACATATGACTTATGGTTCAGTGGATCTGCACAGTAGACTAGGTTTGGATGGTCACTCAATGTTATTCGTCACAAAACAACAAGTCTATACACCAACTAAGTCTTCCTCTCTTTACAGTTTTACTAAAAATTAAAGGTTACACCATTCTTCGCAGTGTGCAGTATAAAAACGCTGTTAGTCAAGAAAAAGCCTAAATAACATTGGTCTATGTAAACATGGACAATGATTCCATAATGATCAGTTACTTATGTACTAGGCTATGAGCCACACTTACTGCGTGTCGACTGATGATGCTACTCAGGTTCTAAGGCTGAATTAGGTGTAGTGGGATTCGAATCAAGGATCTTTTCGGCTGAAAACCGAATGATCAAGACAATGGAGAAACACTTCCACAAATAGGTTACCAATTATGAAATGGACGCATGAAAATACCTGATTTTTAGGAAGAGGTGGAACTTGAGGTTTGATCATAGTTGGTACATTTGACACTGATGTGGTTTCAGAGGAAGCAGCTGTTGAGTTTTCTAGTTTATTGGTTTTTGTATCACAGCCAATAACAGGAGAGTCATCTTTGTTTGGTTGCGTCTCGTTATTAGTAGGCTCTTGTTGTGCACCTCGAAGTCTTTGTAAGACGGTGCTATTATTTGCCAGTTGAATCTTCCCGGGCAGAATCTTTCCGTTCTTATTAACGGATTCTTCAAGTTCCGGTTTACTGTCAGTCTGCCACGGTTTGCTACTCCACTGAGGTACTGAAGGCTGGTTTGTACTTTCTTCTGCAATATGAGGAGATTTCTCCCACTTGCTTGATACAGGAATATCCTTTTAAAAAATAGCAATGTGAAAGAAAATTCTAAAAAGTTCGGCAAAAAAAGAACAATTTGTTCGTATTAAATTCAATAAACCCACTTCATCTTGAAAGTAGAAGACAATTAACGCTTCACTGATCATACTGTTTCTATCGTACTGACCTCAATACACTAACCACTGAAATAAAGAAAAAAATCACTGTGAAACTTTAGTTAAGTAAGTTGAACATCAACTGTATTAAACAGCTCTCTCTACCGACTACTTTTCGCATTTTCACATTATCAATAATCCATATTCTTTAACACCGAAATCCCATTTGACTATTATCCCCCATTAATATGCTGATCTTCAAAACAATTTTAAACATTTAGTAAACTTCGAAAACTTATTATACAAAAAGACAAACATTTCTCAATAAGTATAAAGAGTGAACTTACCTCAACAGGTGGGTCCTCAGCGACAATTTTCGGTGGTTTTCTAATGAGGAAAGTAAAACAGGAGTACTAACATCCTTTCGCAAAAATTTAGGTGAAATAAACGTTTCATATTCAGGTTAAACTTCAAAATATGTTTATATATATATATATATATTCGCCAGATGTTTAATTTGCCTGCGAATTATAATATGCTTCACTTATAAATGCCATCGCACAAGTGTACTAATATTACTCCTTAGACTGACGAGAAGGTCATGATACGATACGTCAATATCCTAAGAATCCGCACAACTAATGACATAACTGCCCGAACTGAAAATCACTTATTAGCGGCATTAAAACTGCTTCGAAAGGGAGACTGTGAAAAGATGTCAATAATAATAATCGATTAAACCATAACTTTTACTACCTGATGGTTACGCGATGTTTCGCCTACAACTTGATTGAATACATGCTACTCCACCCTAACATAACATGTGACGCTTCTGGTGACACTTAACAACTCCATAAGTTATGATGTTTCAATATACAGTGATGCATACAATGAAAAACCACTAATCACAAGAGTGATGTGTGCAAACTAAAGTCACATTTGCAGCATTGTAGATTCTGATTACAATGCGTTAATCTTTTCAGTAAAATATATACTGTCACAAGTCACACCTAACACCCGATGAAATATTACATTCCCCATCATTTTCGCCAATTCACTACTGAAAATATTTGCAACTGTAGGTTGCTGACAATCTTAATTGAGCGCTGCAAGAACTTATTATGCACATAACTCCGACAGATCAATCGTATAAATTAGTTAGTAAACACTATACGTGAAATAATCGTTTCGCAGGTCTAAAGAATTACATGAATATGTTTTGAGAATAACAATTTTGCTTATCCTTACTGATGTGAAGCGACTTTATTTCTCCTTGTCAAACCTTTAATCCTCCAGCGTCCCAAATATCTTAACAGACTATTTTCTTCAGCCTTAAAGATTCCAATTATACTTTGCTATACAACGAGGGAGATCAGCCTACACACGAAATGATAAATAGTCCTCTTGGGGATTGAAAAGATTAATAAAAGACTCCCTGTAAACGGACGTTGGTTTTCAGTATCATACTCCACAGAGAAAAATCCACCGTGTCCTTTCAACTGAGAATTTCAGAATAGAGAACTAAACACCAAGCAACAGAACTAATATTTTACAGCTGTCACACTCCCTCAAAAAGTTGCAGGCAACTTTCTCATAGATTTTAGAAAAATCAGGAAGACTGCCTCGAGACCGAAGCGAAGCAAAGTAGAGAAAACAAAAACGTAAATAAAACTGTACACAATCTGTTTAAGACTTGAACTATTCTATCAGCAGCAAGACGTCACTAATCAATTGATTTTACTTACTTATCAAATGTATTGACAGTGAAGGACCTGAAAATGTTTCGGACCAACAGTACTTTCATAGTTCTGAAACTATGTACTATGTACTAAGCAATAGTTCTTGAGATGTTCGGTCAACGACTCAAGTGCACAGAAATTTAAAATGGACAATGATGGAAATGTTTGCATTCTTAATTATCACAATTTCACACATAATTCTATTCATTAATTGGATGGAAAGCTTTTTAAATTTTCGTATCACGCGCTCTCTTTTTTCAGTGCATTGGCTAAGTTCAGCGACATACGACATTTCAAAAATAAAAACTATTGGAACCTAGCAGACAAGATAGTTTGAAAATACAGGAGTCTTGGCGTGCAATTAAATATCGGTGTGGATACATGGCTCAAGAGCTTAAGGATTCGATTCTTGACTCATTTAAGCCTGGGTATCTGAGTTTTAACTAAGCATTGGTTGGTTGTTTTCACCAGCAAATGACATCAATCCATGCCGTGAGTTGGTTTCAAGCTGAAAATTTGTGATGTGCAAAAAGCAGTGAAATATCAACACTATTTGCCCAGAGAGTCAAAACAACAAGTGAACACAAACGTCCAGGCTTAGTTTGTAGGGATTTTATTCATTTTAAGTTTGACCACAGATTGAAAATTTGTCTGTTGCCCACCAGTGACCGACTACAAGACGAAGCTGCCTGGAGTACTAGTGAGCAGTCGTGACCGGTGAGGGATAACACCAGGTTAGCTGAGAAGACAAATACTCGCCGATGATATCGGCTGGTGGTCGCGCTAAAATCGCGAATTGACAGACGTTAGAACCCATGGACCATTGGATTCCGGCCCAAGTGGCTCGATGGTCAGTGAACTTAAAGGTCCTTGGTTTGACTGCTGGTGATGGGGTTGTGAGGCGTTTACTGCCAGTCTTAAACCAGGATGGAATGGCTGCTAATTACTCCCTGATCTTTAATTCCTGTCTAAATGACGACAATCAGTGATCAGACTTGAAACAAATAATCTCTACAAGCTAACTCTTGAAAATTATGTTTGGTTAGAACTACTACTTATCTCGAAAGCACGGAAAATGGACATAAACCGACATTGAAACATCACTACTTTTCAAACTTTGTAACACAAACCCAGTGAAAAAGCAATTCGCCATCAGAAAGCCACTAAAATCCAAGTATAGAATGATATATTCCTTGAAAACTTACTGTGTTGTGTGACTCTTCTTCGTTATCACTATAATAGGTTTGCTGGGTGAGGTACCTCGATGTTTCAACCCGTAACCCTTCGCGGGTGAACGACTACGAGATTTTGAGCGTGATGTTTTCCTATCACGACTGGTACTTCTTCTTCGTTTGCGAGCACTTTCTGTTTCAGGAGAACCACGTCTTATATTTGATTTAGTACGACGATGGGAAAATGAGCCTGATTTGGAACGAGAACTCGAAGATCTACTTCTCCGACGGCTGGTGATGGAACGTGATGGTGAGCGGGAATGACCATGGATACTTCTTCCAGATGCATTACGTCTCAAACGGTCTTCGGATGATCCAGAAGGTGCGTACGCTGCTACGGATGGTGGTACAACACGACGTTTTTGGTTCAGCATTTCACGGCGCATTTTCCATCTATATACATGTAAATAATGTCAGTGATTAGGTAATTTTAAAAAGTCCAACAGTAATATTATGTGAGTTATCAGTCATTAGCATACAAACATAAAAAATTGTGTACTTCCACTAATGGTTTATTGTATAAACGACTACTAAGTGCATACAGAGACTTAATTCTCCCCATTAACAAACAGCAAGACAGCTAAAATTATTTTTTTTAAAGAAACGTAATTCCCAGTGATGAGAAGATTTCAACTTACTTCTCCACAAGATGAGCTGGAGGACTTCGTGGAGCTTGTCTACGATGGGATTTCGGACTTGTTTGAGACTGAGATCGGGAACGGGAACGTGAACGTGACCTAGAACTATCAGATTCACAAGATGAAGCTGATCCAGATTCTGATGACGACGAACTTCGTGAAGCTGATCGAGAGATGTGAGCAGCCTTTGGCTCTTCATCTGTTTGTGATATGAGCGGTTTGCTAGGTTTCTCTGGAGACTTGGCTCTTTCCTGTATAGGTGGGGCACACTCACTTGGAAATGGTATGTCCTCGGGTTCATTATAACTAATTGGTTGAGGTGATGGTATTCTAGAGGGAAGCTGTGGAGAAGCCTGAAAAAAAATCATAGAAAATCCCGTTTTGATAAATACGTTAAAAACAGTTTATACTCAAAAAGGTACTTTTCTACTGAATCAGAAACAAATTATATACATATATACTTATCGTAATTCGGTTTTAGTAGCCATGACTATTCTCCACTCTTTTATATGATTGCTGATTCATTCTGAGATCATAACATGCATGTTGCACATTTGTCTATTAGAAACAAACTCTTTTGTACCCGGTAAATTTATTTATTATTTAAACTAAATCTACTGACGTTGAATGCTGTTTGAAATCCAGTTTTGTATTTGTTCAAGTTAATTTGTGTTTTCAGTTGATTGATAACGCTCTGGTGCTAGAAATAAGAGATACCAGGTTAGTGTCCCAGTGGGAACACTACCACTCGCTAGAGATGCAAGTGCATCCAGATGAAGAGTCCCAAATCGGACAAAATGAGCATCCTAGATCCTACTGCTAGCCACCATCAATCGCAATGGGATTTCCCTTAGGTCCACTGCTAGCAGAATGCTTTATAGGAAAGGCGCATTAAGATCAACTATTGATAATTTTCAAGTATGCGAGGTATGCGTGTACGACATTCTTATCATTTTTGATAACATGAACTTAATCAGTTGTTACAAGTATTTAACAACTGCTATCCAGAAATAAAATTTACTCTGGAAAATGAACCTAAGATTCCCTTTTCTGATGTTGAATTAACAAGGAAAGCCGATGGAACCTTAAGAAAGGTTGTCCATAGGAACCCGTCCTGTGTCATATCATCTGCTGCAATAAAATCCAGAAGTTTAATTACGAACCACAACAAATTATTTGCTTTAAATGTCTAAGAAAAACTTACTTGATGTTTATGAGGAATACCAGGAGAGGACTGTTGAGCATTTTGATCAGGTGGAGATGGCATTCGGTTTTCGGAAGCAATAACAGATACACGAGGTGATGAGTAAGTAGGAGGTGAAGCGGCGTTCTGCTCTGTAGGAGCTTGATTCTCTACAGTAGTATGTTTGGGCGAAAGCATTTGAAGGACAGGAGACTTTGATCGATATTTCTGTTGTTGACTGGAAGTGGATGAGTTAGCTGGGGAAACAACTGCTTGTTGTGGAGATTTCAAATTTGATGATCCGGAAAACTTTAAAGGAGACTGACTACTGCGGGATAAGGCTTTCGGTGAATCCTCTAATTGTCTCTTCGGTGAATCCCCTAATTGTCTCCTCGGTGAATCCCCTAATTGTCTCTTCGGTGAATCAGACTAGCAAAACAAAAAACACTGGTCAAAAAGGATTCTCAATCAAAAAAAGTACACGTGTTACACAAAATAACTACTATAACTAAAATCCGAAAATTCGATGCCAAAACGATGATACTATAATTGCTTTTCAGTGTTTATTTGTTGCTTACAACATAATCTGACAGTGCTAGATTGATAAGCATAAAAGAGAAAACAATACACATGATCTTATTGCTTAAATGAACCTGTTTAATATTAAATTTGTTAACAAAATACTTGCAGTCCTAGTGATTTTAAGGATGTTAAAAATCAAGTTTCGAAATTGGGTAGTTACTATTGATATGGTTATGAACAATAAATTGTGTTCGAAACGTCATCCAGCAAATAATTCTGTTTCACTGTGTAATATATCCAAAAAGCAAATTAATATGCAATCAATCACATGTGCTACCACAGTGTCCAACTTTTACACATACATTGATGTTAAAGCAGATTTTACATAATTGGTTCAAAGAAGCAGTATTCCTAAGAAACACTGAACTATTAAACGGGTACTTACCTTAACGCTCGAATACTCTGAAAATTTAGAGAGTTTTGAAGACTGTTCATGAGTATTGGTTGCAAGAGTGTTAAGCTTATCTTCATCGATATCTACCATACATTCGTCGCCTATTCCCGAAATACGCTGATCCTCAGACAATGGTGTCGGACGCATGTCTTCGGGTGATCTAGGATAGCGCCTGTCATGCGAATCCTCAGATTTACCCACGTACTCGGTATTTATCCTTTTTTGTACGGCTGAAGTTGGTGATACGTGATTCTGTGTTGGGGAGGAACCGTTTTCCACTATCTTGGAGTCATCTACTAAAATCTGACTAAAATGTGTTGAAAGTGAATATAAAAATAGTGGAAAAAATGTTTAAGGGAGCATTTCCGAAAATTACTTATATTTGAAGACTTTTATAGCTTGTATTTCAACAGAGATAAAAATTGTCCGCAAAACTCACACTCATCAGAAGCAAAAAAAATTACCGACGTACACAATTGATAAAAAAAGCATGTATTCTTAACCACAACAGCAGATTTCGTATTCACTACAAAGACTAAAGCTCGAGTACAGTATTTCGAAATAAGCATTCAAAAGCAGTGGGAGAAATAAGATGGGTAGAATAACACCAATGGGAATAAAGGAATAATTAAAAATGAGCAGCAAAGACCTTAAAAAGATTTTAGTGACATCTTCAGCGCTTCCTAAATTAGTTTTAACAAGCTTCAACTGTACATTGACTTACTGACACCTGTTCACAGAAACACAACCAAGTAAATTTTTGAAACTACGAGTATAAAAAGGTTCAGTTAATATGTAGCGCATTTCTTGAAGAGAGCTACTTAATGTTTTTGAAAAACGAAAATGATAACAAAAAATGCAACATTTCTACGACACTATACATATAAGCTGCTAGAACCTAAACACTACGAAGAAATCCTTCCAGTTTGCAAAGCCACTAGTGAATCCAGTATACAGGTACACAGACAGAGAACAACATGAGAACTTCAAAAAAGTTACCAGCACCAAAAAATTTGTCTAGTACTAAGGAGATTTTTAGAAAAGTAGATGTTTTCTAATAGGTCATTAACTGACTATCAAACTTAAGATGTAAATAACTAACAAAGATATATCAAAAAAGTGGAATCATACATAATCTTTAGGACCACTACAGTCAGACTACGCTTATGAAATATCAAATGGACCTACTGATTCTTTGGTGGTGACTGACTAGGAGAACGCGATTTCCGACCATCCCTTTGACCTGTTGAAAATTCTTTCTCCGGAGAATCAGCGTCTCTTATATTATTAGGAACACCAATGTTGGTTACAAAAGACGGTGAAGTGCTTGGGTTGCGGTTACGACTGGCAGCTATGGAGGGAGATGGTGGATCATGGCGGCTCCCACGGGATGAATGAGACGACATTCTTCTTCAATGAAAATTGGAAAAACAATTTTTTAACAATAACAATAAAGTCAGAATATTTCTAAACTGCGAAAATTAAATAGTATTATGGAAAACAATGTTAAGTCTCTAAATTCCATTCCTATCAATCAAATGCTCAACTTATCCCAAGTTTATTAGTGACCAAGTAGTGTAGGTTGTGTAGACAATTGAAAAGTAAGCCTCTAGTGTGACATAGCGAAAATCACGTACACAATTTTCGGACTAGGACTTTGTTGAATACATTTAAATAACAATAACGCAACTCAAAATCATTATATGGCTACATGGTAAGTGATGAACCACCAAAAATGGTCGGAAGCCATGGCACTACTCAGCTATCACAACTTAATGCAAATTGAGGTCCAAACCTATGAGATGCGAAAACTAGGTGCCTAACCAAATTACGAAGTACCAAGAGACATACTGTAAATGATTCATTTGTTCCTGGTTTCGTCGTTCATTCCATTGTTTCCAATCATCCTGGTCTAACTTTTGAGTGTGAGAGCTTGCTTGGCGCCAATGTGGTGGTGTGGTACTACGCTCAGGACTTCCTGAACGGGAATTCGGACTTTGGTAACACTGAAAAAAATATGAACATATGAAGTTAAAAATAAAATCCAAATTAATGAGTAACCAATTGCTAACTGGTATGCTAATTTAATACAATGGAAAATTTGATTAAAAAATTACACGGTAAGACTGAGTTGGTAACCATTAGGTTTCTGCAAAAATACAAAACAAAAAATACCACAACTAATGTATGAAATGTGAGATTTTAATATTTAAACTAACAAAAAAGATAGGCGGTTCAAGTAGGATAGATAGATAGATAGAGGACTACCGGTATTGTGAGACAACTAGCAGTATATTTCAACACTACGAACACGATAGTTATCATCATCAGTCTGAATAGTTTACCTTCACTTTTGACGCATTTTACAGCAAGATATAGTTATCAGAAGCATGGGATACAAAAGCTGTATAAAAATACAATAATATTATCACTCTACAGTATTTAAATCCATAACTTCGTAGAAAATCAGATAAAACAGTACTTATGAAATGGTTATAATAAGGGCGGAATATGACTCACAATTCGACCGCGTCCCTTGACCACTCGACCTGAACGGTCCTCCTGATATCGACTTCTAACACTTTCACGATTGCTCCCCGAACCATGCCTGAAAAAGGAAACACTTTGTTGTGAAATTCAGTGGTAATATGACTGGACACTGAGCAATATGATTCTTACTACGATAATTATCAAATCCCAGTAGTCCGTTATTTAATGAGAAATCGAATGCAAATTTAATGGTGAGAAGTTACTGGAATAACTATATACAGGAGAATAATTTTGTTTGATAAAACACAGTAATATATTATTTACAGATAACGTTCAAGCATAATTTAATGGTTAAAATCATATCAAGATGTAATCATTCTCAGATGGAAGTATAGTCCCCCTACGATCCCCAAATTTTATTCTTATGCATACATAAGATTGGTGACAAACGATCTGGAAAGCACTTAAACAACATTTGCAATTAAAAGTGTTCTCTGAGCTGGTTGGTTTAGTCGCGAAGCTTTCGTCGTCCTTCCGGACAACATCTTCAGCGCCATATTTAGCACAAAGTGAAATGATTTAAATTTCTTCATGCGTGATGTAATTGCGTCTCCTGGTTACTAACCAGGAGACGCAATTACATCACGCATGAAGAAATTTAAATCATTTCACTTTGTGCTAAATATGGCGCTGAAGATGTTGTCCGGAAGGACGACGAAAGCTTCGCGACTAAACCAACCAGCTCAGAGAACACTTTTAATTGCAAATCATCCACCTGAGCTACAAATCTTCTCTATTACTTAAACAACATATTTCATATACCGGTTGGTTAATGAGACCAAGCGCGCTTATGATATATGGTTGTGGTCCACTGATTTAGACACTCCATTAGCAACCACTGGTTAACGAGTGCATATCAGGCTCAAACTGCCGAGGTTTGAACAGCCATGTAATATCATTTACCCTCACACAATAGGTACATCTCACTACCAACTGCATAGCAATGCAAGTGGTTGAGTAATAATGCTTATATTGCATAAAAAAGGTCGTTTAAACATGCTCATTAGTTAAACGTAAAATGTTGCGCGTAGTCTAAATGAATCTTCAGTAGAAATACTAAAATATCGCTTTTAAGATATAAAACACTATGAATACAACAGAATATAAATCAACTGGACTGTTTTCTACTAGACCAAACGTTACATATACTATGCTATGTAAGACTACAATAAGTTGGGTTGTCTGTAAGAGAATCGCTCATTTAATTGGCAAACGTTACGGCTTCATGAGGCACACGCAACTCCCTACTATCACACAGAGTAAACCATCTTTATTTGCAAATTTGTTTGAGTGCAGTTAGTCCGGATGTTGTAGCAAATGTATAAAACCTTTCGTGAAGCAAATTGAGTAGTTAAACGTAATAGCAATGAAAGACCCACCTGGACTCGGTCGAGCAATTGCTGAGACGAGCTGAAATACTGTTGATCAAAAGTAGCAAAAAATTAGGCTTCATGACGTCATAATAGTGAATAATGAAGAAACTCATTACTATATATTATTCTGCTGATACTGCACGACATGATAAAGATAAACATCACCAAATTAATATGTACAAAATATTACTGAAGTTATGTCAACCCTTATTACCAGCTAGGTGAGGATGGTAATTACGTAAATGCTGACTACACGTACGACTTGTAAACTAGCGGAATCACTGACATAAGACTTGAGGGACACTAAGCTACAACCGATTCCGGAGCTGAATGGCACTACTTTATAGTCACGAAGCAGTCCTTAACTTTTCAACATGTAACTTCATATCATGTAGTGACTATCCGCAGACAAGTCAAAAGTCGGATGTACATTAAGAGACCATTTAAATCACAAAAATTAACAGTCAAAAACCAACATGCACATACACCGTCTTCTTAAAATCTATCTCATCACCGATGACGTCCAAAACGTACCTTGGCTTCAGAGAATTAAATTCGCTTCCGCTACGTAAGTTTTCGATTCATATTGCTGACTGAACAGCCTAAAAGTCACAAGTGCATGAAAACATCTAAGACGTCTGTAACAACTATCTAGTCATAACCCAATAAGATACGAAATCTACTTTTAAAAGTCGTGTACAAGACCACATAAAACAACTACAATTTAGAAAAATGGTCATACCTTGGACTGGCTTCCATCTTTTTCTGTAATTCCAGCTGATCCTCCTCATAGTTACCACGATAAAGAAACTTTGGTGGTGGCACTTCTGGAATCTCTTCTTTTCGAACACTGCATCCATTACCCATGTTGCTTTCGCTAAAGCATGAATCATAAAATGTATCTTACCTTTCTGATGAATCTTCCTCCTCGCTAACTTTCCGCTTCTTTTTCTTCTTTTCCTTTTTCGCTTTCTTCTTCTTCTCACCACTTGAAATCTTTCCTTTTTTAACTACCAAAGTCAGTCAAATATTTTAGGGATTTACCTGGTATAAGCTCTCCACAAGTGTCAATTACAATCGATTTGACTGGACGGTGAGCTTTAGTGTCTGCGATTGGAACGGCCTCAATTTTCCTGACGACATCCTCTCCAGATATCACATGACCGAATACTACATGTTTCCCATTCAAGTGTGGTGCAGGAGCAGTGGTGCTAAAGCAAGTAAGTAGTGAGGTTATGGGCTTACATGAAAAATTGAGACCCATTAGTGTTGGGACCTCTGTTTGCCATTGACAGCAAAAAAGGGCGGTCGTGCTCCGTCGTTAGGCACTCATCTAAAAAATTATTACTGCTAAGCGCATTTACCAGCAAAAGTGCCTCCGTATATCGATTCACCCCCAGTTCCATCCCTATTACTGAAGTCACCTCCTTGTATCATAAAACCCTTGATAACTCGATGGAATATACTTCCCTGATATGTTAGCGGTTTCCCCGTCTTTAAACCCAAACCACAGACTCCTACAAATTTCGAATATAAGAATGAACAGTACCTTGACATAATTTCTTAAAATTTTCGGCAGCCTTTGGACATATATCACTAAATAACTCTAACACGATACGACCCACTGAATATTTTTTTATGATATTTGAAGTATGTTTTACCTGGTTGCGAATCGATTTTGATATCCAAATAACAACGTGTCCTAAACTTATGCTTCCCCATCCTTAGTAGTGCGACCTAAGAATCCAAAAGTAATGGCGTATCACTCAAGGTCAACTCAATAGGTGCAGTAAAAGTGTCAACCTTCAGTTTCGTTTTAACAAAATAATGGACTAGATGTCGCATAAGACGCTGTTTCAAGAAAGTTTAATATTTTTACAGGACACGACTTTCCTTTTTTTCAAGTGTCAAGAAGAAAATCGACAGGAAGGGATTGGAGAGTGTTGGTGCTGTGATTTACGACTGCTGTTTCACTCGACAGCATCCAACTCACTTAGAAACACAATAAAAAATTAAACAATTAGAAACTGATAGCGAAATCGCTGAAGTTAGTTGATCAAAATAACATGTGACAGAGTAAAATAGGCAAAAATCGCAAAAAGAGGTTTTGTTTCTGCTTTGAGCACTCATATAACTTGTCTATCATGCGGTCTCAACAGCTTAGTTGTAATATTATATTATATTATATATTAAAACTCTAAACGTCACCTCTAGTATAGACTGGCTCTCCGCTGTCCGTAATTCACCTTTCTTTACATGCGTCTCACCAGTAAAATCCATCATGATCACTTACTTCACCTGTTAACACTTCCTGCATGTGAGCATTAATATCTCTAAACGATATATACGCCGTTTTGAATGAACCGTGGGCTCATCTTCCTCATTTCTCCGGGCATATTTATGTCAGTGGATCCTCTAAGTGTGATGCAGGTAAGTTTCTGCCAGGAGGGTATATAGCTGCGCTGATCAAAGCTTTTTGATTCGTGTGTTTGGGAACATTCTATGGGATTAAAGAAACTTAAGGTCCTGAATGAGCTCAAGATATTTCCGCTCCACATTTTGAGTTCAAAGAAGGTTGACTTAGTTAGGTGGGTCTAGAAGGGAAGGGAAGGGAAGGGTGGCAGCTGGTACATACCGTGGCTGTGTAGGCCTGTAATTTGTCATCATCCCACCCACCTAAATTCATCCACTAACAGCTATATATATATATATTTCACATAAATTAAGCATTTACATGATTAACATACCGTTTGTACAGGCATGATCATATTCGACAAGTGCAATTTGAAATAGAAAAGTTTTTGACATTAAAAATTGGAAAAATGGGAAAAATAACCTTTGTTAGAATAGATTACAATATATTGGTTCAAGTCTAATTTATAGTCTACAATATACTAATAGTCAGTCAAATTCATGCGGGAATTACGAAATGTAGCGTTAATGGAAGGTAGGAAGAGAGGTGATAAACATGTGTTAGAGTAATACATACAGGATACAGGCCTTGTGATCAGACTTAAGTCTATTGTCCCTTCGTAAGTTGGAGCATGTTATGTGCAGAGCGGCCACCGGCTTAGGGCTTTCTAGCATTGAGGGGTTTCCCTGGTTTTGTGGGCAAGAGGCAAGTCTTCCGGTATTGGTAGCGAAGTTACCGCTACGAACTTTATTGTTGGCGCTGATAAGTTAGCGAACCCAAAGTTCTTCAAACAATATATATAATTATAATATTGTTATTGTTTCCTTTAATTCCTAGAGGAACATACGGCTTCAGCCGTGCGTCTCCATTGCGTTCGGTTCTCTGCCAACGTTTTCACTTGGCTACAAGTCTGCCCATACGCTTTCAATTCTTCTTCACATGATCTCCTCCAGGTCACCCTTGCACTGACGACCAACTCGCCGCTTCCCTTTCGGGTTCCACTCAAGCGATGGCTTGTCTAGTGAT